TATTTTTTAGAAATGCGGCACCTCAGCGCTTCAATGACCAGTAGCATAGATGTGATACTGTTCTCCTAAAATAGTCCCAATGTTCTCAATGAACCCAAGCTGACTTACTGTCATCCCAGACACTGCAGGATGATCTGGAAGAGATCTACACACTAGTTTCACAGCCAAGCAGCTTTAAATGAATGGATGGACACAGCTGGTGCAAAGGTAGCTGAACATCAGTCCTCTGGGTGGCCTTGCTAAAACCCTGTGCAAAATTCTCAGCCCCTTCCAAGGCTCATTTATGCACACAAACGTTCATTTAAAGGTAGATAAGTGGTTTACCTGTATAGATGAGCGTATGCATGTGCATGTACACACACCCACCTTTTGATATGAAGAACCCTTCTAAGGTTCATTACAAAATAGTATGTACAGGTGCAGCTACATAAAGATGAGAGGGAAGCTGGAACAGATATAAAGAAAAGCTGTAGGGTGAAAGCCACTAAATGATTCTCCACCAGCTGAGAAAACGAAACGCGCAGTGTAGTGACAAGCAGCGCTTACATCACAGAGTGCAATATAGATTATACTGAGCAGACTTCAGCAGTTACCCCCACCGAAACAATGAAGACTGCTCACAGGTCAGAGCTGTGCTTTATTTATTATTCACTAATTCCTTCAGCACGAGCTACAAGGACATACATTTAAAAGCAGTAATTCATGTTGTTTCTAGTAACTTACCGAAGATCAACATATGGTTCCCAACACTCCCTACAATTACCCTTCCCAATATCTCTCTAAAACAGATACTGTAGGTAATAGGTAAATATAACAAAGAGGTAAATTCAATTTAGACATGAGGAACTCCAGCAGAGATACCATTCTGCTGGGCGTCACCCTACTATTCTCTTAAAATCCAGTTCTGCAATTACTTTCACTAAGACTAGACTGATAGATTGAGAGTATGCGAAAGTCCCTACCCAAAGCATATTGGCAGGAGTCTGAAATCAAGTTAGAACAGACTGATAAGGTTTCATTTAATCTGAATGCCAAAACACCTCTCCTTTGCATGTGCTGGGATTGAAGGCAGATACTCTTCTCATCCATCATTCAAAACAGAAGTCTTACCTTTTAGTGCTCTGATTTCTATCAGCTCACATCAAATCACAGGAGAAAGCTCTGTGCAGCCAGGAGACAGGCAGAAGAGAAACAGTTTTCCACTTTCTAGTAATATGAAGTGCTACATGTTCTGGGACAACATTTTATTCCAGGATTAACCAGCCCCTGTGATATATCCATGTACTTCATTCATATGACTCCAGCCTTACAACAACGTCCAGGGCGGGAGCATTATGAAGAAGCATCAGCACGGGCCATTGGAAACTGTCTTCTTCTCTGCCATGTTTCCTGTACTTCAGGGCCAGCCTGGCTGTTATTTACAGTCAGCAGATCAAAGACACCCAGCATGCAAGTGCTGATTTAGTGAGGAAACACCACCCCTTCAGAAGATAATACCCACATAAAGATAGTATCCATCCTAACTCTCCTGTGATGGTTTCTACTTTCAGGTTGACTCAGACTTACTGGAATTAAAGGCCCTTTGGATGGTACATTTTAGATACCGACGTATTTATTGTACTAAGTTGATTTCATGTACCCTTAAAATAAATAAAATTTTGAGCTAAAAGTACAACAAGAAATGACCTAATGGCTGAAACTCTTGACTTAAAATCTGGAATAAAATGCATCCAGTCACAGGCTTACTGGGCAATCACCTTTACCCATCTCAGTATCTCTATTTGTAAATGAGGGATTAGGACATTGCTCTCATTTTGTGAAATGCTTTGAGGCTTTCAGGTAGACATGATTCTGTTCACCAAAAAATCCCATACTTCTTTTACAGTGTGGTGCCCCACAAGCTAAGTAGTAGACCTTCCTTTCCCTGGTTAAACACTTGTGACACCTCCCACTCCTTTTGCTGATGTAAAAACTGACAAAACTGAGCACAATGTGCTCTCATCATTTTCCAGGCTCTTCCAACTTCAAGATGCTACAGACACAAGCAATTACTGGATGCACACTACAGGAACCCAAGTGATGCTGAAAGATCTCACAGACCATATTGTCCAAGAGCTGAGGTAATGACTGTTGCCCTGTACTGGGAGGGTTTTAGATGACAGGCAAGACAGGGCCTTGGCAGAGGTAATAAGGCGTTGGGTGTTTTATAACAAGCTCATTCTCTCACTTCCAGTGGATCTACAACATATGCATCTGGTGCTGAACTATCACCATCTCCAAATATATGGAACACAGTGTAAGTAAGGCAGCTGCAATCATACAGGAACCTAAGGAGATTCAAAAATAAATGTGAAGAAAAGTAACTGCAGAACAGCCAGAACTGGTCACTTACACACAGTGCCCTCCAGTGGCTCACACAGTAACTCAAGGAACTGAAGACAAGAACCAGTTTCCGAAGTCAGAGACACCATTTTCACTGAAATTGTTTCACTAATGGACAGAAATGAAAATGTAGACATCTGGATGTCAAATAGCTCTTTTTAAAATTTAAGATCCTGCATGGCAATGTCATATCTGCTCTCATTACATACCATATCCATAAAAACCTGTTACATCAAGTGAATAAAATATTAATGGCAAGCCATGTAAAATGAGACAATGAAAACCAAAGTGATTCCCAAGACAAAAATGTTTATTTGTACTAACTCTTCAAGTGGGTATACATTCACAATCTTTAAACAAAATCAGTACACATCTAGGGCAAGTTGGGTACGTATCATTAAAAGATAATGCCTTCCTTAGTAATGAATGTTCACAAATCAAGAATTAGTTACAAGTTTACGACCTTGTATGCAAAAACGTACACAGGGGTTAATGTTTTCGGTAAGACTATCCCAGTAGTAGGCAAAACAGTGTTTGTAGAACAGGATTCTGATAATTCAGTTCCAGTATCGTATCAGTGTCTTTTAATGAGCAGTAAATGTTAGTGGGGGAAAAATATCTAGTGCCAAGCTGAATGCTCTCAAGCACTGAAAAGCAAATACAAATGATGAATTATCTATAGAAATTTAAATAAATTATTTTACTTACTGAAAGCTCACTTTTTGCCTGAAAAGAACAAGAATATCATTACAGACTTGAGGAAAGAACTCCATAAAATCCTTTTCTCTGGATTTGCCTTAGAATAGGCTTCTGTACAAAACAAGAACAATAGAAGTAGTATTGGAATAATAAAGAAATAATCTTAAAATATATATTAATTTACCACATTTAGCTCATATAGCCCTTTATGTATCTTACAAAATGCTACTGTTCTACATACTGCATGTAAAAAAAAGTTTATATATATATATATATATGTATATATACACATATAAAGGCAAAGCCAATCAGCTTGGTATTGAAAAAAACAACACAAAGTGTAAGCAGACACACTGGAAGTTATGCAGTAATGAGGAGTGTATGCTCCACGTGTGCGTTAGTATAACAGTGCTTCCAATCTTAACATATCTTTTTAATTGTCTAAGCAGAATGCTTACTCCAAGTCAGGCCTACCAGGGATTTCCTCAATTGCCACAAACATCTGATGTTAGTTAACTTCTAGCCATCTGTTATATAGCACTGAATCAGATATAAGGCAAAATAACTTTTCACATCCCTGAATATCTGATGACATTCATGAGATCTCCCAAAAATTAATGCAAAACATTACAGGAGCACAAGAAATGGTACCCCTGAGCTGAAGCATCTTCCTGTCTATACAAAGCTGCCCCATTGCTCGTCCATTTCAGAGTAATCCAGGTTACTTAATTAAGTATGACAACTATTCCCAGGCATCCCCTTTGCTTTAGCAAGTTTTGAATGACAACTTAAAGCTTCAGGATAGGTTTGTGTTCATGATTTCTGCTCTAAAAACATCACTGCGAACAGTGAACAACACTTCTGATACTGCTCAGAGGCTTGGAGTGGATATTCAGAGCGGATGGACATTCTTGTTGAGATCTGTAAATCTTGATGCTAAATCCTGTCTCCCAGCTGCAATAAGGCTACTCTCTATGTACCTAGCATATATTTTACTAAAAAAAAAACCAAAACAACCCAAACAAAACATAACACTGTTTAGTGTACAAGAAAAGCAAAACAGGCTCATTTATCTATCTTCTCTTGCATCGATCTTCTTTAAAAAACAAAACAAAACAACGAAGCCAACCCCACCCCCAAACTCCATACAATCACAAATTTTCTAATGATAAATAAAATTAACCTCCCTGATAATGCAAAGGTGCCTGAAAAAATCTAGTTGAGATACCTGGGGAATAAAAGAGACAGGTGCTTTTGAGGAGCATAAAGGACTTGATCCAGCACTCATTAAAGTTATTCCAGTAAAAGATTAACTTTAGAATTAATTGTTTCTCTGAGGAGGCTGGATCAGGACTACAGTCCAGTTGACATATCAGTCAATGGCTGGCACTGAAATGAACGCAGTCAGTGTACTGGCATATAACCCTTTTGACAACACAAGCATGACCTGTCAGGGAATCCCCTGAACATTCCTTGGAGTGTTGTGTGGAGTGTAGCTGATGGTTAAGCTAGAAACACAGCATGGCAATTTTGAGCAGTGGATACCCAAGAGTATCCTTCCCCACCCACCAAACAATACCAGTGAAGAATGACCACAGGTACAACACTAAAATGAACCCTACGCTCCAGGGTTCAGTATCCCAGGTCAGCATCTTCCACTCGTTTGAGGGAATGGGATTCTAGAAGAGCCTAACACCTATGAATGGCAAGGGAGAAACAGAGAAATAGAGAAATACACGGATTAAAAAACAGAAGGGGAGGTAATGATCCCCCTCTAGCATATTCCTTTTAAAACAGTATAATTAAAAACTCTAAATTCACTTAGAAATTGGTTTCAAAATAGTCTGACAGTTTTAAAGACTTTCAAAAATTAAAATATTCTTCATCAGAGTTCATTAAAATATCCCTGTAGCCCCGTAACTGCTACCACTTGTTTTGCATTAATATTGTTTAAATTAATGTAATCATAAACATGCAAAATGTTAAAATTTCAATGTGTATGCAGAATAAAACTAAGTCCTAATAGAAAGATGACTAAAATTTCAAGATTACAGGCTTGATTCAGTCTCCATCAAAACCAGTGAGATTCTTCCCATGGTGTCCAGTGGATTTTGGACTAGGCCTTAATAAGAGACAACAAAACATTGTGTTTTACGGTGTAGGAACACACACAAAGTACACTTCTGTACATACACTAGTCATGTAGTGCAGCTTTTGCACTGCGCATCTTCAAACAGTTATATTTTAGCCAGTAAAACGACAATCACCAAGTCAACACTGCATGCTATGTTAAACTAGGCTGTAAAACAAAAAACAATACCCATTCAGAGACATTCATATTGTTACTGTTGCCTAGCAAGCAGCTTTGAACGAAGCTTAATGATACATCCACTTGAACCCAAATATAAATTTGAAAGGCAGAAAGCTCCATTAGTACGATGGCCTGATTGATTTTATATGTGCTCTGGATGACTCTGAAGGCAGGATATCATCTCTCTGACAGGCTTCCCTTCATAGCAGATCTGATACACAGCAGTGAATAGTGGAAACCTGAGGAGACAGGGTGGTGAAAGCAAATGCAGCATATGTTTATTCTGTAACATTTTTTTTTAAATGAAAGAAATAAAATGGGGTGAGGAGAGGGAGGGAAAAAAGAGAGACTGAAAAATCAATTTCTTTTAGTATTTGTCGAGTGTTAACGCTGAGCTGAAAAGCACTGGATAAATACAGAACCTACATGGATCTCTAAAATGAGTCACTCTCAGGAGCCCAGCTAGCTATAATGGAGCCTGCAACATTTATTATGCATAGCATAACCATTAAGTGATATAAAAAAAATAAAAAATTAAAAACCCTTGCATCTTTCCTTGACATTCTTATAGCAGTACTGATCTATGGTTAAAAAGGATCACTGGCACATCAGTTATGCATTATTTCTGAGCAATAATGCAGAATATGACAAAGAGACCCAAGAAGAAACTGAAGGTCAAGTTTTCAGTAAGAGTCCAAAACCAAATGTGGATTTTGAAACACTAAATTCTATCTCTTATTTTTTCTGTTTTTAAATTGCCCATGTTTCCAACAATCCCCAAATTATTCAGGCTTCCATGATAATCTGAAGGCTTGTTACAGCCAAGACGCTTTACCAAAATTAATATCTGCTTTCTGTCCATCCTGCAGAGTGACAACCAGGCATTTTCCTACAGAGCCTGGTGAATTTTAGGGATTAATTATCTGTTCACCAAAAACAGTATGCCATTTCAGTGTGGCCTTTTGTATTGAGAAATTTTGACCAAACATACTATGTTATTTTGACTGAAGTAAAAAATAAGGAGCATTGGAGATGGTGAAATAGTTAATTTCTGAGCAACTCGGAATATAGCTTGACTAGGACTTTCTCCTCAGGAAAGCAGACCCATCAGTCACTCTAAGGCTTTATCTGTAATGCGCAAATGCAGCACTGAGCAGAACCCCCAACCTGTACTGAGCACCGTATGTGCTTGCCTATACTCTCTGGTAGCACGTGTCATACTGAAGTAACTCTGGTATCACCACACAGCCCTGAACTAGACTCCCCAGTGTGAGCCAGAAGTCGCAAGAGAAGCCATGAGCCATTTAGGAGCACCATTACAGCATGGCGACTACTGCCTCCTCAGGGACAGATACAGGATTTGTACTTGGCTGAATGCAGTACTTTGCATTAATGTGGGAAAAAACATGAGGGAATGGACATGCTTGTGAATTCAGTCCATAGTTTCTATGGCTTTTATTACAAGTGCTCAATGAAAAATGTAGAATTCCATTTTTATCTGAACCATTTTAATGTCCTGCTATGAAATGCATGTCCATTTCTTTTGATTTATTTTTGTGGAGAAGAAGAAGACAAAAATACCAAAATACCAAAAACTATTTCAGATCAATCCAACTGACTTGATTTTTGTTTTTATTTTACCGGGGCAACCAAAATTTGCATATAGCCACATAGCTGCCCTTTCAAATCCAATGCTACACTGTTTAGGTTGCAAAACCCTTGCTAGGAAATATACAGGAAAAAACATTTACACAAAGATAATGGCATTTATTAGCAAGTGTCACTTACCACTCACTTTGTATAATATATTGGGCATGGGGGGCTGAATTTGCTTTTACCATAAAAACTTAACTTTAGGCACTAAAATAAAATTTGTTATGCCTCTGTGAGATTTTACTAGAGGTGGCCACAAAACATGTGAACCTTCTGAAGCACAAGCAAGTTTCACACAGCTTCAGATACAGTACTGGCAGCTACTTCTCAATGAAGAAGTACCACTACTACAAACTACATCTTGATACATAAGTCTTGTTTGAGAACATTACTGTGCTGTGCACAGGCCTACCACACTTCACATGGGGAAAGTAGAATCAAGGCTGACCCCAGGCTTAGGGCCAGCAAACTCAAAATGCATCTCATGCATGAGCACATTACGAGCACCAGTTGTAGAACTGGCGCTCGTAATGTGCTCACGCATGAGATGCATCAACCCTGTTACAAAGGCTCTTCTGCTGAACTTTGACTTTTGCATATTTCTGTGTAGCCTTGGGACTCTTTCCGTAGGATGAGAGTATGAAATTTTACTCCTACTAGACTCTTACCTCTTCACTTTGAAACCATGGCTGTTTTATCATGTTTTGTGTTTTAAAGCAGTAGCAAGAAAGTTTTCAAAAAACACTTTGCAAGTTGCTTTCAAAAGTCATGTTGAACGAGACCTTTTATGAAGACCCGACACATACATGTTGGTATACCAAACAGAAACTGGCAACTCTGTTTTCATATCTTTCTTTAAAAACACAACCCAAAGTCTTGTATAATGTACTCTATTTGTTGTACAATAGAACAGGGAAAGAAACAACCAACCAACAAAACCCCCAAACGCAGCATCCTGTCTCATGTAGGGAATCATAAACAGCAAAGAATGAAGCCAACATTTTAATTAGATATTTTTCTGCAGTTAGCTTAATTACTGTACACTGCAGAGACAGACTTAGGTGCCTTACATCCAAAGACAATGTTAAAAAACCATTTAATGCAGCTGAGCCGTTAAAAGTAGACTTTAAAAACTGCTTTGGAAAAAAAAAATAGTAACAAAGCATGGTCTTCTGACTGGCAGTCATTTATTTTCTGATTTTGCCTCCTCTACAAACAGGAACAGATAGACGCATCTCTTAATCTCCTGAGGAGACAACTGTGTGTGTGGCTTAGGAATCATACATGTTCTGACTTGAATACAAATGAACAAGCCAGGACAACCTGCTTAATTTCATACCACAAAAAACCCCTGATAGACACAAGCAGATGGCAGGTTTTATACTACAGCAAACTGGAATTCACATTAGGAAAGAGAACTGCGGTTTCTAAGCTAGAATCCATGTGGATAGAAGCAGCCACTCTATTCAGATGATCACCTATAGAGATCCTTAATAACAAAGCTCCTCTCCTTGGAGATAAGTAATGAATTTACTGCTATGAAACGCGCTGCAGAGCCTCTTCGCAAGTCTCTTTAGGAAGCTCAGCTTCTATTTTCATGTATTTTATTCTTTTTACATATTAAAACACACTCGCTGTGCTTTTCTGTGATAGCAGAGGCAATAATATATTCTGCAAACAGAAGGGCATTCACAAATTTGACATCATGCTATTAGCTCCATCTACATCAATATTATTTTGAGGTTCTATTCAATTCTCTCTGTGATTTTAACTGGGGATTAAACTACTCTTTTTACAGCGATTTGCTTTTTGGCTATACCTTCATGAAGATATCAACACCAAATATGCAGAAAGAAATATGGAGATAAAAAAAGAGGGATGCTGAACTTACTTTATCTGTTCTTACTTACTTTTCCACCATTCCTTTCTGCTTGAGGATGCGATACACTTCTGCAGAAGTCTGTGGTCCCTGCAATTTCTGACCATTCAACATTTCTTGCTCCAGTTCTTCAATAGACTAAAGAACAGAGAGGGGAAAAAAAGGAAGAAAAGGAGAGCTATGATAAAGTTTTCATAAGCCTGACAACATCACCTGGATGGAAAAAAAAAAAAAAAAAAAAAAACACGTTACTGAGGATTTCCTTTCTCAAAAGTAACCTTTAGGGAGCATGTATTATATTCTCCTATATTCTTGATTGTAAATATTCTCCTTCTTAAATCTGCATCTCCCAACATCTTCTCTCTCCAACTTTTTTTTTTAATCACCCCTTTTTATCACCTTTACACTCATTCTAATCTTGTTACACACTCAAAAATGAGTGGAAAGAGAAGGGTCCTCACTCAGTACAGCCAGCATGTCTCAGATAACTGTACTATTACTCCAACAAACCAGGAGTGTGAGTATTTGCAACAATGGATTTCACCTAGTGAACAAGGTACCTTTCCAGTTTTAACGAACGCTTCCGCTACACGTCGATTCCGGCCACCGTAACACGTTGTGATGAGATCAGCAACTCCACAGCTCTCTAGGAAAGTGGCAGTAGACACCTGTCCTTTGCAAAAAACTCTGGCAAAGGCAATCATCTCCATTAGGCCAAGGCGAATAACAGCAGCCTTGGTATTGTCACCGCAGCAAAGGCCATCACAGAACCCAGCTCCTACTGCTACTATATTCTAATGAGAAAAACAAATGAGAAATGGGTTAATTATTGCTTACAGAATCCTAGCAGACACCAAAAGACAGAGTGCAGATGTCCTTAAGAACTGCAAAGACTTTACTAGTGTAAGACTGTGTTGTTGTTTTGGGTTTTTTTTGGTTTGGGGATTTTGAGGTCTATGCGGTAACCTTTAAAAAAAAAGAAAAAAATAAAAGGATGACAAGTCTTACATTACTAAGTATTTCCAAGGATAAAAGCAGAGTTAAAGTCCTGGAACAATCTGCCGCAGAGGCTGCGGTGCTGTAATTGTTTACTACCTTTAAGAACAAACAGTTCACACTACACTAAACTAGGTTGTATCTAAATTGAGCTGTTTCTGCCCTAAGGTAGAGGTAAAGTTAGACTTACATCCCACAGCCCTTTTATCTGTATTTTCTTTATGATTGATATTGAATCTACAAAGCATTTATTGACTTCCATGCTAAGGGACCAAATTCAGACAAGCTAACTGTATTCAGTCCTTTTAAGTATGCAGAATTCCTACAACAGTAACAGTTAATCAAGGTTTCCCAGAAGGTTCACGACAGAGGAAGACCTTTCCTAAGCAAAAAAAGTTGTGGGTTGTTTTTTTCCCTAGACCTGGTGACAGCCTTCTAATAAAGAATGTGCTGTTTCTTCATGAACAATGCAGTCCCTTCTTTGGTTTCCAAACACAGAGATCAGCTGAAGCTGGTATTTATAGAAAAATGCAGAAGCTGGGAGAATATACTATTTCTCAGAGTGTACTATTTCTCATCCTTTAAATACCAATACAGGTGTTGCTTTCACTATTTACACATCCAAAAAGACAGTCTGGACTGGCATATGTGCCTGCTTACTTCTATCCTCCAAGCAGTAGTTTGCAGTGACTCTGCTGGCATTTTGAATTGGCACTGCTATATAAAGAGAGTAGAACCTCTCTATACCTGTCTCTTCACACAACACAACACAACACCATCGTCTTCTGAAACAGGAATTTCTTCCTTCCAGCAAGTTAAATAATGCTAATTTTTACTATATTTTCCATGAAGTAACTTTCCAAGTTTCATACAGTATCTGTCAGCTGACAGAAGCTACACTTTACATTTTTCCCTAAAAACAATCACATTAAAAGATGCTTATTTTTCACATTTTTATTACAAAGTTTATCAGATTAAACATAAAAAGCAAAGTGCATTTTGCTACCCTTAGTAAACAATTCTCCTAATAGGAGAGAAAGTACAGCCTGTTTATCTTACCTTTAGAGCACCACAAAGCTCAACTGTATCTGCATCATCCACTACAGTTATTCGGAAGTTTGGAGTCTGCAGGAGTTCTTTGAAGAGAAGGCCATTTTCCAAGATTTTGCTGCCTGTTGAGAGAGAGAAAGAAGCTAAAAAAATAAATAATTTATTTGGGTGCTATTTAGCCTTTCCTGTGCAAGCCAAAATACTTAAAAACAGAGATAAGGTTGTTCTATCTTCATCCTAAACAGATTCCTGTTTTAAGTGACTAAGGATACGTCTACATCACACTTAAAAACTCTGCACTGTGTTACTCTGGACTTCATAATTCATTGTCTGCTCAGCAACAGATTCTAAATAACAATTCTATTAATTCTCTATACTCTTTTTTTGATCATTCTCTTTAAAAAGAACAGTTAATAATAAAACAAAGGTAAATTAAAAATATAGCAGGTGCAACTCTACAATTATTTTTAAGGCCTGCATTCCAGAAAAATACCTACTGATAAAGGCATGTCAGAGATGTTTTATTAATTGAGCATGCTGCCACTGACAAATGTTTTGAAACACTAAGGGGTAATTCAACCTTTCAAAAATAACTTCAATGCAAAACACACAAAACTGTAAAAATTAACACTGAAGAAATAAGAAGAACTCTGTGCTATTATGTCTGACTACCTGTATGCATGTACACACACACACGTGCCTATCTAGACACTGTGAAATTCAAGACTACGTACATCTTTGTGCTGCAAAGGTGTGCACACATCAACACAGAACTAAAACCATGTCTAGCTTTTGGGGGAACTGATTTTTTTGAGAAGTTAAAATAAGATACTTCTATCTTAAGAAAAAATCCAACCCAAGTATGTATAAAGGTAGGATGTGTGACCATAACAACCAAGCTGGAGTACGGAATATACAATCATTTATCCATACAAAGCCATGCAGACCCAAGAAAAATCTTAAGCACAGTAATAAAATAAAGCAGTTGGTTATGTGGAGGGTGATAAAAAGCAGGCTCAGTATTTCACCTGCTAAGGTTACAACCCTAGTGAGACTAAGTCAAATTGCACTCTTCCCTCTCCCTCTATTCCCGGTATTGTCCTAGTACTTTTGGAAGTGTAAACAATATATGAAATTCAACATTAAAATAAGAAGACCTCAACAGTTTCTGATAACAGCCAGCTAATGTTGAAAATAATTAAATTTGAGTTATTTGGTGTGAAACTATGAGGACAGGAGCATGTTTTAAACATTCTTATTACTTAGAACAGTACCTATTGTGGTTTCACAGAATTTCTCTGCCGCCACCTCATTGGCAATGTTAGCTCCCATCAGCACACTGATGTCTATTCCCATCTTCTCTCGAATAATGTCAGAGATCAGTTTGAGTCCCTCCGGGCCTTCATCTATTCCCTGCAGCCAACATTAAATGGAATTACTGAAAAGTCATTAATTAGACACAGTAGAGAAGGAAGCACATCACAATTAGTCTTGTCCGTGGGTGAGAACTGTGAAAAGCCTGTTTGGATAGAGACTAAAGAGGACAGACTTGCTACCAGCAAAACTTCTGCTATTGTTGTGACATCTCCAAGCTGACTTCTTTACTGATGAGGCAGCATCTTAAGAATTAGGACTAAACTCTAGATGATGGTAACAGTTTATATTCCATGCTCAGTCAAAGCCCTGATTCTAAGAGGTGCTGAATATCCAGCTTTGTTAGTTCAGAATCTCAGTTGCCTACCATCAGTGCATCCTTAGTAAAACCAGTGAAGCGCGACCAATCCACGAGCTGTGAATCAGGCCTGCACTTGGATTTGAAATTGCACCAAAACTCACAAAATGGCATTTCAATAACTTGTTCTGTGAAGAGGTATCCGAATGGAAATATCGGTGACAGATTCCCTTGTGTATAATACCAACAACAGTTTACTAGCAGAAACCCAGTTTAACAATTTTGAATACTACTACAAATGGAACAGCCCTTCACAGATATGTAGTAAGCTGAGCAACTGAGAATAATATAACTTCTATGGTTATTTTTAATCTGTATTTATAACACACTCTTTACAAAGCATGAAAGTAGGGGCAGAAATAGGACCTTAGAAAAGATCACCTCAGAAATGAACACTGCAATGGAGAAGAGAGACTGGTACCCTGAAATGCCTGAATGAAGAACTCCACATGAGATCTCTTTCTTCTCACAAAACCCTTTTCTCCTAGCCTGCTAAATGCAGACTCCTTTTGAGTTTTCACAACAGGGGCATGGCAGACAAGCTACTAAAATAGTCTTTCTTTCCCACAGTATACCACCAATTTTATACAGTACTATTTTTAATGTTGGAGACTTGGTACTTCTGGGTATTGGTAATTTTGAATTATGACTTAAAGGCAAAAAGGGAGTCTGATCCCCTGCCACTTCCAGATACACACACTTGTATGTTGCCAGTAGTGACATTTCAGCCTGTCAGTAATTTGCATTTCCATAGATCAGAGGTGCTATTCCTTAAATAAAATGTTGCAATCAAGAAACATGCAGAAATGCCTGTATAAAACAGTCAGTTAAACTACAAGCAGTGATTGCATTTCTGCATTATTTTCCAATCTGTATCACTTAATGCACAGTTCTGCTTCCTCTTCTTTAATGAGCCACACAGGAAGAATCTGAAAGCAAGCACACATATACGTGCTGTATTTTTGCCTCACCGTGTCAAAAGTGTCCCCACAAAATAACTTTTGGAGCAACTCCAAAAATGTGAATATCTACACAACAATTATACATCCAAATGAAAGGAGATCAGAGAGGCTAAGGTGCCAAATTCAACTCCATTGTGAAACAGATGCAACTTCTGACAAAGTCAAGGACAGCCGCACCTGTTCCTTGGAGAGTTAAATCCAGTGAATGACAAGATGACAGGAGGAAAAACAAGCACCCCTCCCTCCTCCAAAAAACAAGGCTTCAACATGGGAATTTCCACTGGGCAGCAATGATCCCCAGGCAATGCAAGTCCAATTCTGTGGTCTTATTGCTTGCATCCTAACATGCCTGCCAGAGCAATCCCTGGGGCCTCTATACAGGTAGATGAAAATAAGATTGATGTTGAGGCTGCCTGAAGGGAATATTGAGTGACCTCCACCTGTTCTGCTTCCTGTGCTCACTGCCATACGGCATCATAAGTTGTATATGGTTCCTCCCCCCAGACCCACACAATGACTTGTTAGGTTTTCATAGACACCAGTACTTACGTAAAACAACACAGCTGCAAATGTTTCAATTGGAATGCAGATTAGCCAAATGTCTTTATTTCCCAAAGACTAAGTTTTATTATCAGATGTTAGGCTCTGCTTGAAGATTAGACTATCAAAAAAAGAAAGAAAGAAAAAAAAAAAAAGGCCTAAAAGATGATTCAGCCAGAGGTTTGGGGTGGGGAACAACTGCTGTCCTTAAAGTGTAAAATATCCCAGAGCATGGTAGCTTTTGTCAACACAAGTCCTGAAGCTATGGATTAGTGTCCTCAGGATAAACTACCTCATTAAAATGTGAAAACCACACCTCCAAGGGTCTGACAACCCTCCACCAATTGAGACTCACTCACTGAGCATATGCCGTAAATGTAAGGAACACTGAAGAGATAAGAACCGACCAATTATAGTTAGAGGGATATGGCAAAGAAGATGGAACTAACATTTTAAGCTGTAAAAATACACAACGTGACTTTAACCGGGTATGCTAGTTTTGTGGATTACCACCTAGCATCCATCTCTGCACAGAAATGCAATAAAACGATATCTTAACTCGGTGTGTGGATTGACTTGGTGTACACTGTGCGACAGACCCCAATTTTGGGACAACAATTTGATGGGATAAGTTAGCCAAACTAAACTCACAAAGCTTGCATTCAGTAGTGATGGGGGGTTTAGTTCTTTTTAAGCAAAGAACCATAAATGCACTGTTTTCCAGAAATGACAGCAAACAAGGGAACATGGACTGAGAAAATGGCCTACTCTCAACTAAGTACAAAGCAACAACAAACCAGAATTTTCCAAATCTTGTGTGATTAACTTACTCTTGGCAGCTAAACACATGGTGGTGGGGGGGGGAAGCCTGTCCACATTTAAAAATTCTTCTGCCACCAAAACTAGAAATATTCCAGTGAAACACTTCCTGCACCTCTGCCCCCTCCTATTTCCTATGCTCGAACTGTCTTTTTGGACCATGCTGAACAGACTTTCTTGTTGCAACATAATATTCGACATGAACAAGAACACTACCCTCTCAGTCACATGAAATTCTCCCAGCAGTTTTTAAAATTATCAACTCACTGTGTGGGATGTCTGTTAACAATCAAAGCATTATGCTTGTGCTCTGTTCATCATCTAATGATGTGTTTGAAAACAACAAATAAAAGATTGGAAAGCTTAGTGATGCAAAACATATTCACTCCCTCTTTAAGTCTTGTGAACCGCCTGATTTTCCTCTTCCTGCAAGAGCTAGCCTAGAATAAAACACCGCATAATAATCCACTAACGACCAAGACAAATCCTAATCTTGCATCTATAAAGGTTTAATGGAACAATCAAGTGAATAACACAAACAGACTTTTCATATCAAAAATCCAAGCCATCTTGTTTTAGAAGATTCCACGACACATTCTCAGTTATTAATACATAGTACTTACCATACCTTTATGAGAGTTATACCAAGAGCTTTCTTGGGTACTCGTCCTGTGATTTCATCGCAGACTTTATGAATGAACTGATGAGGAATGACAAAAACCAGCAAATCTGCATCCTGTACAGCTTCGTTAAGGTTTGGGACAGCAACCTATGCAGTTATAGGAGAGAAAGGACAAACAACTTCTTAAAATTAACACTACACACAAGTGCCATCTGATAAGTAAAAGCACATTTTGGTCTTATACTGAATAGTACAAACTACTGTTGATCATTGAAAATAAGCAGTAGCATGAACTACCTAGAAAAGCAAAAGAATTAAGCTTTCAAACAAGATCTTTAAGTTTTGAAAGGGGCATCTTCACAGACACAAGCATGGTTAGTGCAACAAAAATTCAAAATATTCCTTAACATTCACACAAATACTTTGAGTAAGAAAATACAAAATTAGAAGCTGCCTTCTCTTTGCCAAAATAATCTCAATTTTCGCTAAATCACTGCATGCTGGAAAGTAGTTTCTTTACTTAGTTCCTTGTACATTCAAATTTCTTCTTCAGGCCTCTTAAAGCTGCTCGTTTATATTATCTTTCTCCATACTCATAGATTTTGTTTACCCTTTAAGAAGGTGACCCACTTTGAAGTTACTTGTCAGACCCCTAATACTTGATGACCATCTTAAAATAAACACTCAGGTTGAAAATGTATCAGGTAAGCTCGACCTATTGATAAAGAGAACAAACTTGAACGAGCAGGTAGTGGACAGCAGAAACATCACATTTGCTGAAGGCTAGGGAAATGGAATTTCAGCATTATTGTTAAAGAGAAAACCGCAACCCATGGCAATTCATGTTTTTCCTGCTGCTGCAGTCTCTTCTTACAGTGTTTTTGGGCAAGTGTCACCACCTGCCCACCCACCACCATGTTATACCAACACAGAACAGATGTGGAGTCCCACTGTTCTGCCCTGGTAATGCTACATCTAAACAGACTGATCTGGCTGCACGCAGTTGAAATGCAACTGAGAACCAGATAAACTGCAAACGGCTTGTAGTTTTCTTGAGAAATACTGTAGTTCTCATCCTGTAGCTCTCTCTAAGAGTTTCGGAGTACTTGAAATCCCTTCAATTCTCACTGACCAGTCAGCTCCCTTCCAAAGTTGAGGTTATTTTTTTTTTTTAAATGGGTATGGTCAGAGCTGTTAATCTTGCCCTCATTTTCACATTTATTTCCTATACAGAAGCTGAAGTAAAATAAAGACAATAGTGAGACCGGTAAAAAAAAAAAAAATGTGTGTTGGATTTACCTACCTGCATAATTTCATAATTTTTCTTGTTCAAATCTCTGATCTCATCAGTAAAATAACATATATTCTGAAATATTATAAACCCTAAAGGTGTTAACAAAACAAATTTCTACCTCCATTCATAGCATTAGCAATATTTCCTCTGCTCCATAACTAGAATTTAGCTTCTGAGCCTTACCACATTATCTGGCAGCTTGTATCCAGGGAGATATTTTACATTTTCATGTTCATTATTTATGATATCTGTCAGTTTTCTCCCATTAATATTCTCCTCGAAGACCCACATCTTCACTGTGGAAGCAAATTTTTGCAATTTTTTTACGTTATTGCCTATTATTTTGGCAACCGCAGAACCCCTGCAGGAAAGAAAACAAAAGTATTCCAGAAAAAATATGATTTTGCTCTGGAAGTAAGACATTGTATTTAAAATAAACAGAAGTTCACAGGTTATTGGACCAGTTACTATGTAGCATTTCTGACCAAGTAAAACAATTGGAAAAATATACTAGTCATTCACACCTGCTTCCTCTCAAATATATCTAGAGTGGGTTGGACTGAAGCATTTACTGAAAACTTCCTTACATATTTGGTCTGCTTATTGGCTATCCAGCGAGAGTTTGGATTACTGTATTTCCATAAATCAAATGGATTATATCTTCAAAGCTGTGGTAAAAGTGACACACTCAATTTTTAAAAATGGATCATTTTCACCTTTAAGAAACAGGAAGCTTTCTTTGCTAAGATGACGGACCTATCAATTGTTGTCCAATACTGATACTCATTTAAAGCCAAGAAGTATTTATATATTGAATAAGTTGTAAGCTTTATGCTTATGCTGACAACCTCACAGAATTTAACCGTTGCAATGGCATCCTCTGCACTTGCAGGTAGACAATTCCATTACTGTTAGCATCATTTTCTCCCCAAGAACAGCACACAGTGAAACCTGTAGGGTGGTGTTCAATTTTACTATTCAAAACTCTAAGCAACAGTGAAATTAATCAGAATTACTGAAGCTACATACAAGAAGAGGAACAAATGCAACCTTCCCTTCCATTCCTAGCCTGAATGCTACATGGAAGAAAAAGGTTCAATTTCATACAGCCTGTTAACCTAACTTCCCTTCCTGTGACAAGAAAGCACCTTCATAATTACTGATAATCTACTAAGTAGACAAAAAAAAATTCAGAAAGATGTGAAAAAAATATAGAGTCGCCAACCTGAGGCTTACGTGTGTGTGTAAGCTGCACACTTTATTAGGCAATATGAACGCTTTAACTTTAGAAATCTAGTTATACTCACACACTCCCCTAAATTTACTATGGACATTGCTTGTAATAAACTCATAGCTGGTAAATGAACTAAACAGATTAATTCTGCGACAAGAGCTTTTACTATGGCACAACTCATTGTGCTACAATACAGACGCGTGCTATCACAGGCCTAAGGTCACTTTCTAAGTAGTGGCAGAAAAAAATTGTAGTATCCTAAGCAGACCTTCTTCAGTTAAACCATAAAACTGTACGTCTTAAAAGATGGGAATTTATTTCTCTAATACTAGCATTTCACATGCTACAGATTCCCCTGGTCCAGGAAGAGATACAGAAGCCACAATTGTCAGACATCTTTTATCAAGCTCATACTCTAGATCTGCATGCACACAGAGTGGTTTCTCCCGCAATGGTAGACAGCTCACCAGCTCAACCCCCAAATTTCAGATCCACACAAACAATATGTGTTTCTCAGAAAGTGCTTTGAATTCCTTAAACAAAAGCACATTTACTACTGCTGATTTGTATACAAAGTCTGGATCCTGGCAAATCACTGTCTTCAGTTTTGAACTTCACTACAATTCAGTGTACTTAGTGTTGTCAGAGAAAGACAGAAATAACTGATTCAGCAACTGTCCAACTCGGATTTTCAAACAGTTTGTCACTGTTTACTACTTGAGCGAGACATTAATTCCATTACTATGTAACACTTAAATGCCTTAGCTGTCTTTTTTTTAGCCTTTGAATGTAGTATTAAAAAGGTGAAGATTTGTCCTGTCTTAGTTCCTGAATTCAAGAAGATTCTCCTGACTGGCTTCTCTGGTTCCTCATTTCCTGTTACACTGCAACAACTGTTGTAGGGCTGAACTAAGCAAGGTCAAACAACCCACACAGAGTCTAAGATTGCTCTGTGCAAGGTGGAATACCAGCTCCCCACATCTGTTAATCCAACAAGCAAGCCTATATTCTCTTCTGTGACCTAATACTCCTCAGTGTGTGCTCTGAAATAATTTACTGGAGTGTCTGTCTCGTCTCTCCTGACACAACAGAAGGCAAAGGAATGGAAACTCTTGCCAGTTTGTTCCTAGCAATAACAACTCTATTGTAAGCTAGCTTACAAAACTTGGTGTCTGCAGCAGCTCAGTTCCACAAGAAAAATGTGCATGACAAACAGCAGTTCTCTTCCTTTAAATAAGTATCAAAGCCCAAGTACAATCACATGCACTTATTTAACACTTCTGAAGAACTGCATGTGATGCTCGCTGAGCAAGACCACACACTTTGTCTCCTGCCCTTCGCTGTTACAGGGTATGACAGTTGGTCTGCTTTCCCCTCAGGACTTTAAAAGTAAAGCACAAAACCCAGAAACTCCTAAACTTGCTCTGATACCAGCACCAACAGTGGAGGTCAAAACAGGCAAGTACAAATAATATCATTAACTCTAGGTCCACCACTTTCGCCTACAAAATCACCTCAGTTAAGCCACAAGTTTTAACTCCCATTTTTCTACAGCAAGTTCCTAGCCATACGAGCTCCTCTGAACTGGTAACTTCCCATCTCTTCCCAAACTCTACAGCTTCTGTTCAAGTTGGGCAATCAGATTAATTAACACCTGGTTCTAGCAAAACAGACAGGGATAAATCCTGGCCGTGCACACCTTGTTAACCTGCCTCAGAAGTGTCACCAGAAGAGCAGGCTATAGTACATGTCCAAGGCTATGTTTGCAGTGTTTTAACTGAATCTGGGCAATGTCCTTGAATCCTGAGGCTCCAAGGCATATTCCCAATGTGTACGCTCTTCACATTCAAGAAAGCTTATTTTATCCCCTATCTTTAAGATCCTAATACACCTAACCCATCCACCAGCCGAGCAACCCTAAATGGGCAAGGCCAGCAAAAAGCACAGGTCCTGCTCTTCCCTGCTTGTAAGCCGTTTGTCCTGTCTCATGATCTCATCAGGTGTTGAGTGACCCTTGCCAAGTAAACTTCATTGTTAAGGTGACCTTCTGCCTAGCAAACCGACCAAACAAGTCTGACTGGAAGTAGTTTATCATTCAAGGTGAATGCTTCAACCCTTCTGAGCGGGTCACTGTCCTGACAAGCTCCTTCAGTGTTTTTTATTTCATATCAGATATAAGTTAAAGGGCTGTGAGAAGGCAAAGATGCCCCCCGTTGGCACTTGTGGGTCAGAATCATCTCACACAGAACCCCGAAACCCCACAGTCTCTGAACTGATAAAGATGCCAAACCCCACTCAGTTCAACTACTTATATGTTTACAATTTAGGCAACACCAGTTGCACACTCCTGTAATCCAGGCTTTAAAAATACATAACCCCAAAATATCAATGATAAGATGTATATAAATACTTCGATTTCTTTCTGCTTATCTGCTTTTGAGCACTAAATGCTTCCACTTTAGGACCACAGACCCCGGTTCAAAAAGGCACTTACATGCACACAGGTACACAATTCAAATTAAGTCCTATTTAGTTCAATGGTAGCATATATTATTGAATCACAGTGCCCAGTGCTCTTTGCAGTCAGGGTTTGGTGTCTGTCATCCCTTGGACTTTCAGGAAGAAATCACCTACCTCTCCAAGAATTATTGTTTTCAGAAACATTCCAGGGCAGGGGGCAGGCAGAGATAGCAGAGCTTCTGCACATCAAACCACTTGCAATTTGGAATTTTTTGTTACTTTGGTTTCTGCTTTCCTCCCACAAAAAAAGAAACCTGACACACTGCTATCACATATGAAACAAGCTCTCAGTTATTTCAATACATTTATCCCCAAAAGAAATAAAAAAGCCGATGCCTGGTAACAGCAGTATCTCTTTCAGTATCACAGATACGGGCATTTTGCCACCCAAATATCCATCCCATTAGGCGGGAGCTTTTCTTGTTATAAACAGATACAATGAGGTGAAAACAAAACATATATGCACATAGTTACTGCTAGTAGGCAATATCTGCAAATCCTTTTGCTTCTGTAAGTGTGTTTCGCAGTGAATCAAATACAAATGCAGTCAAACTTCCTGTAAAACATTTTTGCTAGAGGTCAAGTATGGAAGAGCAGCAACAATACTCCTAAAAGATAGATAGGGCTAACTGCATCATTTCCTTCTGACATATATCCCAATGCACACTATCTCCCCGTTCATCTTACAAGCTAGTGCAAAGAAAGCAAGAGATGCTGCGCTGAAATGTCAGCCATTCCTTGAACATGCCACCACAAAGAAAAATACAACTTGGCAGTTGCTAATATTTTTAACTATGCAAACAATCACCAAAAGCCAATTGCATGGAGGAGGCAGGGAGTGAGCAACAAGTCTAAGATCACCTTGACAAAAGGCTATTCAGTTTTTACTTAATCAACGGCAGTACCCTGCCCTACACCAAACTCCTCTGGATTTAGTTTTGTCTTCAAAACCAGAATGTTATCAGAACTAATGTACGCTTAGCATTATTAAAGTGTCAAACAGTAAAGATACATTTATATAACACATTGTACTTAACTGAGTCACTGTAAATAGGGACCCAGGATAAAAACACTGATCAGAAATGGGAGGGAAGTTGAAGAACCAAGACAAAGGACTATTAACATGATGCTCCTCTTGAGAAACGATTAGTAAATCTACTGCTTTCAGTGGACATAATAAGTTTATTTAGGTCTAATTATAAGTTAGTGACAGGTGCAGCAATAAAACTTTGTCCCAGGCCTTTAGTGTGCCTCAGCATAATCAAGCTGAAAAATAAATGGTAATTCAAATAACCTAGTGTCTCTGAACTCTTCTTTGAGCTACCTTGGAAAACAGCTAACATCGGAACCCCCAAACAACACTTTTGGTGAGAGGCAGACTTGTGAGAGGCAGACTTGTTACAGGAGCCCTACAGGCAGCACTTAGTTAGCAATGACCTGCTGGGGGAAAAAAAAAAAAAAAAAGTTCAGTATCTCTAATGTCAACATCACCTGACAACGGACAAACCGCACAACAAACACCAGCTTAGAAGTATCTTAAAATAACTTCTTCACAGAACAGATGGGTGCCTACAAGCACTCCAAAACAGGAGGCTCGGATTCTG